AACCTCTGGGCTGATCTAAGATAGGGCATGGCTTACTCACAGATTGAACCCTGAAACAACCTCTGGGTTGATCTAAGTCAGGGCATAGCTAACTCACAGATCAAACCCTGAAACAATCTCTGGCTGGATTGAAGTCAGGGCATGGCTGACTCACAGATTGAACCTTGAAACAACCTCTGRGCTAATCTAAGTCAGAGAACAGAGACACAACAAAATCTACCCTACATGATGCAAGTCTAGGAATAGGACCCAATTTAACCTTAGAGGTAAGAGGCAATTGCAAGTCCACTATTATATACATCTTTCAGTGATTGAAGAATCCCTCTACTGGACCTAGAGCTGTACGTGTATGATTACAATACACCTTAGCATGTAAGTCCAAAATGGCACAAAGCCGAGTGAGTTACATCAAACAGATGCATCCAGGGCTAAATACAAAGCTAAATAATAAGCTGGCAATGCAAAGTATACAGTTGTTCACTTGTTCTGTCTTTCCGTCCTTCTTACATTCAGGAACACAACAATTTTGTGGCATCAAATTATAAGACAATACTGTAAATTTGGAACTGGATGCCTCGTTTCACCCGGCCGTGTGCCATTTTGGACTTAGGCATATATCTTTTAGTAATTGGAGAATCCCTCTGCAGGACCGCTACAGAAAAGGTAAAGGTAAAGGTAAAGGTAATTTATTTTACTTCGATAACACTGGGAGTAGTTGCCCAATTCTCCCGAGCCAAGGGCTCATGTTTAATGTGGTCGAAGGTGTGCCCTCTACCCCCTCTAACTATCAGTGCTCCTTTTTACGGGTATTTAAAGCTACACAGAACAGAGAGAGGTCACAGCTGTACATGTATGATTACAATACCATAGGCATACAATACCTAGTCTTAAATCCTTCATTTCTGGTAAATCTGACATGGCACATAACTGGTAAAATATATGATAATTCCTTTCTTCTGGTGCTTGGAATACGACGCGGGATTTCTCCAGCAGGTATGTCCTCATGTGCGCACCCATTATGTGATGGTGCTTGTCGAAGGATATTTCCAGGTATTTGCCAAACCGACTGCTGTTATCGTTTCTTATGGTCTTGGCATTTCCAATTGCCTGCGAAGTAGTAAGTAAATATGTGACCTATTAGCCTCATTTTCATGCATTTGTCTCTTATGTGTGCAGTTATAAAACATATGAGAATTTGTGCACAACAAAAGAAATGTTAATTAAGAGAAGCATGATGCCTCATGTGTGTCTAGGTATTATTAGTAGATAGAGGAAAGGTCAATAGGTCAGACTCAGAGGGACTGTTGTTCACATCAAAGTAGAACATCTACTCAAGAACAAGCTGTCATCATCGTCTGACATGTAAAACAATAAGGGCACAGAAAGGAATATCCTTGTCTTTAAATAAACTATAACTAAGCTGACATCACCATCTGACATGTAAAAACAACAACAAGAGCACAGAAAAAATAGAAAAATAGACTATAACTAGAGACTCTGCGCAGGCTTAGCCTTGCTTAAGAACCAGTCATTTTCAAAAGTCCACTGTAATGTAAAGAATGTGCAGCTTGAACAATATCAATGTTTTGAAATCCCAAGAACTTTTAATGGAATCTGTGAATAGCTGACTTATAAATGAGGCTAAGCCTGTGCAAATTAGTCTGCAGTATTCAAAAAATGAGCATAGAATGTGAAACTGGTGAATTCGCAAACTTATTGAGTGGTTCTGGCACTTCCTATGTGCTGTATTACTGAATGGAGCACATAAAAGGATATTTTATTTGCTTTGTAACAAAGAAAGAACAAAAACTCATTGTCGTTTTCATTCTTTTTTTTTTTTTTTGCACTTTTTTGCAAAGCTGGGTGCACAGTGCACATTGAATGGTGTTAGCACTGTGCTCTATTCAAATACCCCACAGTTCTCAACCAATCATAGTGCATGTAATGAGTTAACTAAATAATAACTGAACAACATTCAACAAACCTCCATGATAGGATTGGATGCAAGTACTTTCTTTTCAATTTGAGTTTCTGCTGCTGCTCCGCCCACTGCGGCAAAGTAACGCATGGCATACTTTGCACTGACTGTCTTCCCGGCACCACTCTCACCACTTACAATGATGGATTGATTTTTCTCTTCTCTACACAAAATATAATAATTGAGGGAATGACCCAACAAAATGACACAAACAAGCAATAAAGGTTACTTAGTATGAACTAATGTCAAAGAGGTCAAGGGTGGTGTGGTGGGGCCTTGGATTTGATCCCTGGACATTGTATAACATGCAAGAGGAGTTTGTTAGGTCTTTCCCTTAATAATTCAAGGGTATTTCAGTCTCCAGTTTCTACATTTTGTCTCTCTCATGAGACTCAACACTCCATAACTTAGGGATCATCCTTCACGAATTTGCAAGATGTGATGCTATTGGAGGGCACACATGTGTAGAACAATAGAAAACAACTTCACCCCTAAACCTAACCAATCACAGGGAACATTGCAAATTCGCGAAGCTTAACCCTAACTTAGATCATTTTAGTTGTTTGATAAAATTTGAGGGCTTTTTAATATTAATACAACTATCTATTTTTTTCTACCACTTTCAGCCTAATTAACATTAGTTTGTGTATGTCTAGCCAGGGGCGGATACAGGGGTACTAATGGGTGTGACTAGTCAACCCCCTTTTACTCAAATTTCTCAGTATTATCCTCATTAAGCCCCCCCTCCTCAAATTCCAGGTAAAACCTTTGTAATAGTCACTCTCTTCCTGTATCCGCCATTGCTAGCTTTTCTTACCTGGACATGCAACAAAATGCATCCTCTGCGACAGCAAAGATATGGGGGTCCATATCACCCATGGTCTGCCCTCGGTATGCGGCAATAATATCTGGTCCATAGAGAGGTAATTCTGTATATGGATTAATAGCAACTAATACAATTCCTAGGACAAAAGAAAGCAAAATGTTGATCAGCTTGGAAGTTGTTTCAAGGCTTGATATATGAGTTATCTGTGTCCTGACTTAGATCAGCCCAGAGGTTGTTTCAGGGTTCAATATGTGAGTTAGCCATGCCCTGACTTAGATCAGCCCAGAGGTTGTTTCAGGGTTCANGTGAGTTAGCCATGCCCTGACTTAGATCAGCCCAGAGGTTGTTTCAGGGTTCAATATGTGAGTTAGCCATGCCCTGACTTAGATCAGCCCAGAGGGTGTTTCAGGGTTCTATCTGTGAGTTAGCTGTGCCTTGACTTAGATCAGTAGCCCAGACATTGTTTCAGTCTAAGAATTGGATCCTGAATTATATTTTCCAAGTAATGGAACATAGCATAAAAATTGCATGAATTTAAACTTTAGAGGCACAATGCTCTTTATTTTATATTACAAAACCCAAACATTAAACGATGGACTTAATAGGTGATTACATCACATAAAATACTTCATGGCTACAATTACTCAGAAGGGATGAATTAAGTCAAAATTATTGAAATTTTTGAAGTAAAAGGACTTATGACAAGAGGTGAATTTGGCTACAAACAGTCAATGTCATTAACGTCGTCCACCGAAAAAAGACATTTAGACATTTACACATTTACACATTTTGACTAAAAGAAATATCACGTGTTTCCTTGAACGTTCTGGCATAAAACAAATGCTGAARTACAATTCTCCATCTTAAATCCTCACTAAATGGTCGGGGCATTCTGGATTTTCAATTCACGAGTTGAATTTTACATTTAAAGTTTAGGCTCACTTTAGTCTAAATGTGTAAATGTGTAAATGTGTAAATGTGTAAATGTGTAAATGTGTAAATGTCTTTTTTCAGTGGACAACGTTAATGACATTGACTGTATTTTGAAATGAATTTACAGTAATTAACAGCATGCATTCATGAATGATTGTGACGAGGTATATTGTAAACTATTTGTATGCAACATGTTAAAGTATTTGGTTTAATATTCTTATAGATACACTAACATATAACATATAATGAGAGATTGGCAAGATATATACTGAATGAACTTAAAGCTTACTAATATTATTTGTGCATGTAATAATATAGTTCAGTGAGCTGAGTGTAGTAGATGAAACATTGTGAGCAAGAAAGCATTCCATAAAAGAAACAAAATAAACAAACTGTTGGCATAACAAGACAGACATTCCAGCCGACAAAATTAAACTTTTATTAAAAACATCAATGCATTAAGTCATAAATAAAAGGGTTATCAATATCCTAGGTGTTAGGAGCTTTGTTTACCCATAACATCTAGGATGCCTTAAGAATATTACCTTTATTTCATAGGTACAATATATAAGGATATATATTTGATCCTAGATTATTAATGCAGTTTATTCTGTATTGAATGAAGACACTTAAATGTTAAATAAATAAGTTTATGATAACAAGTTAAGTGAGAATATTAGCTTGAAGGCAATTAGTTTCTAGGCGAAATAATGCCACACAGGGCTTAAAAATTAATGCAAACTAAAAATAATAGAGTATACATGTAAAAATAGCACAGTTCAGGTTTAAGCACGTCTTGGATATATTGTGTTAAAAGATCGTCAAAAAATATTAGCATAATCTATGTTGAGCTTTATATCTGTGTTTTTGTTTTGGTTGTTTGTTTGTTGTTGTCCAATGCAATCTTAATTAATATTTCTATTGTATTATTATTTTATTTCATATTGTAAAGATAATACTTATTTTCAATAAAATATTTCTCAATTTTTTTTAGAATAAGAGTAATAAGAACAAGACTGTACACATATACTGTACACATTTTATATGTGAATCTACAGGTACAATTTTATGCACATTCAAAATATACAATATTCATAATTATTATTGACTATTCATAGTAGAGCAAGATTTAGATTTTTTTCTGGAATAGATTCAAGCTTATATTGTATTTTCTAAATATATTTTTATGTTTATATTTATTCACGTTATACTGTAGATCTGGTGTTAAACAAGTGACATAAATATAATTCGGTAATAACTTTAAGCTTGAATGAGTTAGTATGGATCTGGTGTTAAAATGCATATTGGAATTTTAAACTAACTTTGGGATATATTTAAAAGGGAATCACGACTTTCATAAACTAATAAAATACAAAGTAAACTCACCGCAATAAGTATATATCAAGTTGGACTGCATAAACCTCACAGAAAGATTGTACAAAACTGTAAATAAAAATCATTTTTAGTTAAATTCTTTAAATAATTTTGTAATTCTTGCGTTCGTTTATGCCTGATTTTGTTGTAGTTTGTAAAAAATTATAATACAATGCCCAATAATTCTCGACAAATCACGTCAAGGGAGATCAAAGAATTAAACTTAGATTGAGGTGCTTGGATATAATTGTTAAGAATGAAAATTTTCCACTTTTTAGTGTAAATATTATCATTGAATCAAACGCGTTACAAGTTTAAAAAATATTTTTTCAAGTTTAGTTTTTGTACCTGCTGGCTCGTTCAAGTAGCTTAGAGTGGTAAGGTCATTCTCAGCTACAAGAATCTCTGGGTTTCTTAATGGAGGTAGTTTACTTTTTCTAGTATCAATAACAATTTCCTGAAAGAGAAACAAGAGCGATTTTAAGAATATTATCAGCGGAAACTTTCGACGAGAAGGACATTCTCAAATTACATGCCCAAAGCTTGAAACTTGAAATTTGAAACTCTTTCAATCTTACCCGTCCATCCTCAAGCAGTATTTCTAATATTTTGTCCTCTATGTCTTTGATAAGGACTCCTCCGATCCATACTATGTCAGGATGAGGTATCCAAACCCTAGCTCCCTAAAAAATAACCAAAAAACACGCAGAGAAGTAAGGTACTTGAAGCTTCTTGACAACAGCATTCATCGTTAAACCACCAACTTTAAACCACTACAAACCTTTGTATAAAGCTCTAAAGTCGACATAATTGGGCCACTCTATAGAAAAACTATTAATGTTTCTTTTCGTATTAATTTGGTCTCCATTTTTGTCGTTGTTGAGACGAATACGGTAGAAATATTGAGGTCGTTTCAATCTGGTTGGAGAGGCTCCGCCATCTTCGGCAATCAATATTTGCCGCCTGGAACTCACAGGAAGCCCAAGCTGTGAAATTATTCATAATAGCACTACGACAAATCTTTCAAGTAAATATATTATTCTCCTTATTTGAAAAGAAATTGCAAACATCAGTCAATTCAAAATCAATTAATTCCAAAGCTGTGAAAATACATATTGATTTTAATGTTTTTTTYCCTTTGATTTATGTATGACTTTCTTGTGGGCTTCCTGTGTCATGTCGGGTCGGCGCGGAGGTGAGTCACGGCTATTTTTAGAGGCGTTTGCAAGTTCTGCCAAAAACTTTATTCTAGTTTACTATGCCAACACATAAATCAATAAATAGAAATTACAATTAATAGTTTTAGCTGAATAGACCTTTTTGTCAAGGTTGCTTACGCATTCTATCACTAAATTCGTTTTTTTTTTTTTTTTTT